CCATTGCTGCTTCTCGCATCGCCAACAAACTCTGCATGGTGCCACTTTCAGCTGTCTCCTCCGGCCACTAGCGTTACTGGTTGTGTTCGCATTTTTATTGTGCGGCAGGAGGTGGCTGCAGACTACGCGGGCCTCCATTGCTGCTGCCATGGCCCCGTAATCTGCCATGGGCCCCAGTACACGCACTCCTCCGTATGTGAATGCTGCTGCCAGGATCCACAGAGCTCTCTCAATGGCGTCCCCCTGTACTGACACCCCTAATCCTCTTGCCTGCTGTCTCCATCGCCACACTCTGAACCATGTGCCACTTTCAAGGTCTCTCACACTCACTGCTGGTGTGATTTCAAATTTTTGAGTCTCATAGGGTGGCTGGCAGATTACGGGCCTTCCACATAGCTGCACTCCCAGGACCATACTTGCTGCATGGGCCCTGTGAACCTCTCCTCTCATGCTGTGCCACGGTCCAGAGTGTCCTCATTGGGTCCCTGTTGTACGGCCTCCCATTGCTGCAGTCTCATCGCCACACACTCTGCCCATGTGCCACTTTCAGGTCTCCTCACACAGATGCTGGCGTGTTGTCCATTTTTTGTCATAGGTGTTGTGGCAGATTACGGGCCTCCCATTGCTGCGTGCCAGCCCTAATCTGCATATGGGCCCCAGTACGCCGCTCTTGCTGACTGCGGCAGTCCAGAGTCACTCAGTGGGTCCCTGTCCAAACCATTGCAGCTGTCTCATCCTGCACACTGCTGTATTGCCACATTTTCATGGTCTTCGCTCATAACTGCTGGTGTGTTCGGCATTTTTTGTCATAGGGTGCTGCAAGATTACGGGCCGCCCATTGCCTGCTGCCATGGCCACCTGTAACTCTGCCATGGGCCGCCGTGTACCGCCTCCTCATGCTGCTGCCAAGTCCAGAGTCATCTCATGGGTCCCTTGTAAACTGGGCCTCCCATATTGCTGCTGGTCTCCATCGCCGACACTCTGCCATGTGCCATCTTCATGGTCCCACCTACCCCACACTGCTGGTGTGTTCCCCATTTTTTTGTCAATAGAGGTGCTTGCAGATTACGGCCTCCCATACTGCTTTGCCAGGCCCTGTAATCTGCCATGGGCCCCTGTACTCGCTCCTCATGCTGCTGCAGGTCCAGAGTGACTCATGGGTCCCTGTAAGTGCCTTCCCATTGCTAGCTGTCTCCATCGCACACTCTGCCATGTGCCCACTTTCTAGTGAGTCTCCTCACATACTGCTGGTGTGTTCAAATTTTTGTCATAGGTTGCTGGCAGATTTCGGTACGGGCCCCCCCTCCCATCTGCTTGCTGCCAAGGCCCGTAATCTGCCATGGGCCCCATGTAACCGCCTCCTCATGCTGTGACTGCCAGGTCCAGCAGTGTCCTCATGGGTACCTGTACGGCCATCCCATTGCTGCTGTCTCCATCGCCACACTCTGCCATGTCTGCCACTGTTCGGTCTCGCTCACACTGCATGGTGTGTTCCATTTTGTCATAGGTGCTGGCAGATTACGGGTCCTCCCATTGCTGCTGCCAGGCCTGTAATCTGCCCATGGGCCCCTGTACCGCCTCCTCATGCTGCTGCCAGGTCCAGAGTGTCTCATGGGTCCCCTGTACGGCCTCCCATTGCTGCTGTCTCCATCGCCACACTCTGCCCACTGTGCCACTTTTCCGGTCCTCTCCCACACTGCTGGAGTGTTTCCCTTTTTGTGTCATAGGGTGCTTGCAGAATACGGGCCTCCCATTGGCTGCTGCCCAGGCCTGTTAATCTGCCATGGGCCCCCGTACCGCCTCCTCATGCTGCTGCCCAGGTCCATAGTCTCTCATGGTGCCGCTTTACAGGCCTCACATTGCTAGTGTGTTTCATCTCCAACACCTCTGCCATGATGGCTTCCAGATTAGGTCCTCTTCACACTGCTGTGTGTGGTCCATTTAAGTCATAGGTGTGCTGGGCAAATTACGGGCCTCCCATGCTGCTGCCAGGCCCTGTAATCTGCCATGGGCCCCCCGTACCCGCCTCCTCACTAGCTCAGCCAAGTCACAGAGTGTCTCATAGGGTCCCTGTACGGCCTCCATTGCTGCTGTCTCCAATCGCCATCACTCTGCCCATGTGCCACTTCCAGGTCTCCTCACACTGCTGGTGTGTTCCATTTTTTGTCATAGGTGCTGTGGCACGATTACGGGCCTCCCATTGCTGCTGGCCAGGCCCGTAACTCTGCATGGGCCCCCGTTACCGCCTCCTCATGCTGCTGTCACAAGGTCCAGAGTCTCCTCCATGGGTCCCTGTACCGCCTCCCATTGCTGCTGTCCTCCATCGCCACACTCTGCCATGTGCCACTTTCAGGTCTCCTCACACTGCTGGTGTGTTCCATTTTTTGTCCATAGGTGCTGGCAGATAACGGGCCTCCCATTGCTGCTGCCAGGCCCTAATCTGCCATTGGGCCCCAGTACCACCGCGCCTCCTCATGCTGCTGCCAGGTCCAGAGTCTCTCATGGGTCCCTGTAACGGCCTCACCATTGAACCTGCTGTCTCCAACGCCACATCTCTGCCATGTGCCGCTTTCAGGTAACCCCCCCCCCCCCCCCACCCCCCCCCCCCTCTCCACCCCCCCCCTCCACTGCTGGTTGTGTTTTCCATTTGTCATAGGGTGCTGGCAGATTACGGGCCTCCCATTGCTGCTTCCAGAACCTTCAATATCTGCCAGGGAATGGGCCCCTGTACCACCTCTTCATGCTGGTTCCAGGGTCCAGAGTGTCTCATGTCCCTGTACCGCCTCCCATTGCTGCTGTCTCAATCGCCACACTCTGCGCTGCCATGTGCCACTTTCAGTCTCCTCACACTGCTGGTGTGTTCCATTTTGTTGTCATAGGGTGCTGGCAGATTAACGGCCCTCTCCATTGCTGCTGCCAGGACCCGTAATCTGCCATGTGTCCCCAGTACCCGCCTCCTCATCCTGCTGCTGCCTAGGTCCCAGATTCTCTCATGGTCCCTGTATAACGGCCTCCCATTGCTGCTGTCTCCATCGCCACACTCTGCCATGTAGCCACTTTCAGGGTCTCCTCATCAGCTGCTGGTGGTTCCATTTTTTTGTCATGAGGGTGCTGGCAGATTACGGGCCTCCCCATTGCTGCTGCCAGGCTTGTAATCCTGCCATGGGGCCCCAGGTACCACCACCCCCGCCTGCCTCCGTGGCTGCTGCTGCCCAGTCCAAGTCTCTCATGGGTCCCTGTACAAACGCCCTCCCATTCTGCTGACCTGTCTCCATCGCCACAAGCTCTGCCATGTGCCACATTCAGGTCTCCCTCACACTGCTGTTGGGTTTTTCATTTTTGTCATATGGTGCTGGCAAGATTACGGTCCTCCCATTGCTGCTTCCAGGACCTTAATCTGCCCATGGGCCCCTGTACCACCCCCTTCATGCTGGGGCCAGGTTCCAGCAGTGTCCTCATGGGTCCATGTACGGCCTTCCCATTGCTGCTGTTGCATCAATCGCCACACTCTGCCTTGTGCCACTTTCAGGTCTCCTCACACTGCTGGTGATGTTCCATTTTTTTTGTCATAGGGTGCTGCAGATTATACCGGCCTTCCCATTGCAGCTGCGCCAGGCCCGTAATCTGTGCCATGTTCCCCCTGTACCGCCTCTTCAATGCTTCTGCCAGGTCCAGAGTCTCTCCATAGGGTCCCTGTAACGGCCTCCCATTGCTGCTGTCCCTCCATCTCCACACTCTGCCCATGTGCCACTTTCAGGTCTCTTCACACTGCTTGGTGTTTCCATTTTGTCATAGGGTGCTGGGCATGATTACGGGCCTCCCAATAGCTGCTGCCAGGCCTGTAAGCTGCCATGGGCCCCCGTACTACCGCCTCCTCATGCTGCTGCCAGTACAGAGTGTCTCATGGGTCCCTGTACGGCCTCCCATGCTGCTGTCTCCATCGCCACACTCTGCCATGTGCCCACTTTCAGGTCTCCTCACACTGCTGGTGTGCTCCATTTTTTTGTCATAGGGTGCTGGCAGATTACGGGCCCTCCCATTGCTGCTGCCAGTCCGTAATCTGCCATGGGCCCCCAGTTACCCGCCTCCTCATGCTGCTGCCAGGTCCAGAGTCTCTCATGGGTCCCTGTACGGCCTCCCATTGCTGCTGTCTCCCATCGCCACATCTCTGCCATGTGCCATTTATACTTTCAGGTCTCCTCACACTGCTGGTGTGGGTTCCATTTTTTGTCATAGGGTGCTGGCAGAATTACGGGCCATCCCATTGCTGCTGCCATGGCCCGTAATCTGCCATGGCCCCAGTACCGCCCACCGCCTCCTCATGCTGCTGACGCCAAACATGTCCATAGTCACTCTCATGGGTCCCTGTACCGGCCCTCCCATTGCTGCTGTCTCATCACGCCACACTCTGCCCATTGCCACTTTCAGGTCTCCTCACACTGCTAGGTGTGTTCCATTTTTTGTCATAGTGGTGCTGGCAGATTACGGGCCTCCCATTGCTGCTGCCAGGCCCGTACATCTGCCATGGGCCCCCAGTACCCCCCACCCCTCCCTCCACATGCTGCTGCCGAGGTCTAGAGTCTCTCATGGGTCCCTGTATACGGCCTCCCATTGCTGCTGTCTCCATCGCCACACTCTGCCATGTGCCACTTTCAGGTCTCCTCATACACTGCTAGCTGGATAGTGTTCCATTTTTTGTCATAGCGGTGACTGGCAGATTACGGGCCTCCCATTGCTGCTGCCAGGCGCCGAAATCTGCCATGTTCCCCCCTGTACGCCGGCTCTTCATGCTTCTGCCAGGTCCAGAGGTCTCATGGGTCCCTGTACGGCCATCCCCATTGCTGCTGTCTCCATCGCCACACTCTGCCATGTGCCACATTTCAGGTCTCCTCACACTGCTGATGTGTTCCATTTTGTCATAGGGTGCTGGCAGATTGCGGGCCTCCCATTGCTGCTAGCCGCCAGGTCCGTAATCTGCCATGGGCCACTGTACCGCCTCCTCATGCTGCTGCCAGGTCCACAGTGTCTCATGGGTCCCTGTACGGCCCTCCCATTGCTGCTGTCTCCATCGCCACACTCTGCCATGTGCCACTTTCAGGTCCTCCTCACACTGCTGTGTGTTCCATTTTTTCATAGGGTGCTGGCAGATTACGGGCCTCCCATTGCTGCTGCCAGGCTCGTAATCTGCCATGGGCCCCCGTACCGACCTCCTCATGCTGTGACGTTGCAACAAGGTGGAATTCAACCCTACATATGTTAGACCGCCTTTACGAACAAACGAAAGGCCATCACAGATTCCTGATGTTTACAAGCGGATAAAGGTACTCCCCCTGTGTAACTTAGATGTCAGCCATTGGCAGCTCATGCGTGACACCTGCCGCTATGCTCAGCCCTTTGAGGAGGCCACGCTATTCGTGAGTCGGCAGGACTATGGGGGATGAACGACGTCATTCCTCTGTTGCACGTTCTGGGAACAAATGCTGTTAACAATGGCTGGTCAGGGTGCGGTAGACGTGGCGCACAGATCTCAACGCCAAATGACCCCTGTGGGGGCAGGACAGGAAGAAGAGGAGGAGGTAGAGGAGGACCTTGGTGCTCAGGAATTATTGAGTGAAATGGGTGGTATTTCCACTCAGCGGACAGGAGTGGAGGAGCATGAGCATCTGGTAGAGGAGGAGGAGGAGGAGACAGAGGACCCAGACGCACCGTGGCAGTATGCTGTGGAGATGGAGGCAGGGAGTCCCTCGCATTCCTTGGCACAAATGGCCCATAGCATGCTCGGTTGCTTGCGTAGCGACAGCCGAATAATAACCATCAGACAGAGGGATAACTTTTGGCTGTCCACCTTGTTGGACCCTCGCTAAAAACCCACACCGTTCAAAAATGGTGGCCTTTTTCACACCTGCTGAGAGGGAGGTCAAAATAACGTACTATAAAAACCACCTATGTAGTCAGTTGGTCTCTGCCTTTGTGCGCCAACGTCCATCCTCAGACACTGTGGATGCAGTGGCAGCTCCACCAGCAGCGGCTGCCTCAGTCTGCAGTCGATGATGAGTAGCTTTCTTCACCAGCGCAGTGAGGGAAACTACTAACCAGCCGCAGCAGCAGCAGCATCAGTGGACCTGGAGCAGGACCTCAAACAACAGGCTTGGGCCTACTTGGACAGCACCCTGCCAACCGAGGTAGACAATCCCCTTGACTACTGGGCAACGAAACTTGACCTTTGGCCCCAACTAGCTGAATTTGCCCTTGAAAGGCTGTCATGCCCGCCAGTAGCGTGGCATCGGAGCGCGTGTTTAGTGCGGCAGGAGGTATTGTAACTCCGCGGAGGACACGACTGTCCACCCAAAGTGTGGAGAGACTCACGTTTGTGAAAATGAATCAGGCGTGGATTAGTCTGGATTTCAAACCCCCAGTTCCTGACACAACTGACTAAATCTGCCATGAATCATGCCCCAAACATGTGCCACTTTCAGGTCTCCTCACACTGCTGGTGTGTTCCATTTTTTGTCATAGGGTGCTGGCAGATTACGGGCCTCCCATTGCTGCTGCCAGGCCCGTAATCTGCCATGGGCCCCCGTACCGCCTCCTCATGCTGCTGCCAGGTCCAGAGTCTCTCATGGGTCCCTGTACGGCCTCCCATTGCTGCTGTCTCCATCGCCACACTCTGCCATGTGCCACTTTCAGGTCTCCTCACACTGCTGGTGGGTTCCATTTTTGTCATAGGGTGCTGTATGGCCTCCCATTGCTGCTGCCTCCACCGCCACACTGTGACTCCCACACTCTGGTTTTGGCCCCGTGACTGCCCAATTGAGTGAAGTGTGTGGTGATTCTAAGATCGACGGCACTCATCTGCATGTCATACTGACTGACAGTATTATTTCTCTTCCCCAGCAGACTCCAAGGGCATTTAAATTAAAGGTACAGTGTTCTGCACTAATATGAAGGCTCTCTGAAGCCTAGAAACACCCTTTTATAAGTTAAATTCGCAGCGAATATATTCGCATCGAATCGAATTTATTCCTCTAATTCGCCGAATCGAATTTTTGAATACTTCGCTCATCTCTACTCATTACGTAAATTGTGCCTAATCACTAGAGCCTCAAATTTATTGGACAGACTCAGTTGCAATTCCCTTTTGCTGCCCCAGGCCTTTTTGGATTTTTTTTTTTTTGCATAAACGTTTGAAAAATCATTTTAGGCCTGAAGGTTATATAAAACCTCCAAAACATTACATATTTTCTGAAAGCAGACACCTCACAGAATATAATAGTGGTAGTTCCAATTTTTTAAATTGCACAATATTAGCTATGTGGTTTAGGAAATTCAAATTTACAGTAAAAAATACACAAAACTTGATTTTAAGAAACATAAACACAATAAATTACCTAAACTAAAATCAATTGTTCTCTATGGTGCTTGTTCGTAAACAGGCACCATAGAGAACAATTACTTTTTTTTTTAAGTTTGAGCGTTTTTGGAGCTTCAGGCTACAAATTCCTCAAGTGTGAATGCAACCTTAAAGATGATGTTTTGCTGAGTAAATAGATTCCCAAACATGTCAAACCTTAAAATTGTGTATGACCTTGAAATGGTGACCAATTTCAGTACCCTATATTTTCCAAAAGTGACACTTTAAAAGCCCCTACATGTCGTCAGTATAAAGCTGCGCAGGAGCTCTAGTGCTACAAAGACCCCTGATGTCTCACCTGTCCTCCAATGCATCTAATGCAGTGCAGATTGCACTATGGGGGATACACATTGCTCTTTCAAAAGCAGCTTGGAATTTGCATCTGCCAACTTTCCCTTTATCTGTGATAAGATTGGTTGCAATGAATCCACAAGCTTTGGTTTTCATATTACTGTCTACAATTTATGCTGAAACTTTTTTTTTTCAGCTTACAGTTTCTTTTTGTCAAATTGCTTGCTGTAGCCCCCAGTTCATTCAAATCATTAATGAAGGCAGTTGCATCCTTTAAAAGGAGTTTTCCAATTGTTGCTATCTTCTCTCTGGTCCCCATTACTCCCCCTTTTGCTCAGGAATATCTTTAATTTTGAGCAATATTGCTATTTTGTTAGCCAGTCTTATTTATATTTCTTTGTAAGTTGTTTTTTCTGTAATTATGTTGCTGAAACTGATAATAGTATATTACACTGGCTTGTTAGAAGCTCATCTACACAGGAAAGCAGAGGCATATTCATTGTTTACACAAGTTTCATTTTAATAATGTACAATATTATTAATGGTTCAACACTGCAAACACATACTCAAAACTGGTCCAGCTTAATTTTCCTTGCGTCCTCACAATTGTCTATACCTACAGTCAGTGCTGGGACAAGGTCACCTAGCACCCAGGGAGACAATGCCAAACTGCACCCCCCCAAAGATGTATGAGGCATCATGGGTCAGCAAAAATGTCCTACCTCCCAAAACAATTGAGCACTAATTAGCACACTAAGCACCTAGGCATACATTATCTTTGCTGAAATCCTCTCTCTCCCCAAATCTCCCCTGCTAGCACAACCCCCTCCCCCAAGAAAAGCACCCTCTTAACACATATCTTCACTCCTCAAATTTCCCCTCCAAGCACAAATCCCCTACCCCCTCCAAATTCTCCCTTCCGAGCACAGATATCCCCCCAGTCATCACTGCTAGCACAAATCCCCCACCCCCCAAAAAAAAATTTCCCCTCCTAGCACAAATACCCACCAATCATCCCTACTAGCACAAATCCTCCCTTTTACTAACACATCCCCCCCTCAATTTCCTCTTCTTGCACAAATCCCCTCCTCCCACATCACTCCTCCTAGCACACCCCCCTCAAATTTCCCTCCTAGAACAAATCTGACCCCCATCACCCTCCAAATTTCCCCTCTGAGCACAAATTCACCCTTTCAAATTTCCCCTAGCACAAATACCCCAAAAATCCCAACTAGCCCAAATCCCCCCCCCAAACAGGGGCGGACGTACCATTTGGAAACTCGGGCACTGCCTGAGGCCCGGAGTCAGTAGAGGGCCCCATGAGATGCCCCTGGTACCTTTTTCATAGGCTTTTTTGAGTTTGGGCAAGGACACAGGGGCCCCATGATCCCCTATTGCCCGAGGGCCCCATGAGTTGTCAGTCTGCCCCTGACACCAAGTCTACCCCTTTTAACACCCCCCAAATCAACCTAAATTCTTTCCTTGCACAAATCATCTTCCTGCCATCCCCCAGAACCCCCCTCCAAATCACCCCTCCTAGCACATCCCCCAAAGTCACCCCCCCATCACCCCTCCTAGCAAATCCCCCCAAAATTCCTCTCCAAGGACAAATCCTTCCCTCACAGCACAGATACCCCCCAACATCCTTACTAGCATGAAACACCCCCCTTTCCAACAACCCCAAAAATTTCCCATCCTAGCACAAATGCCCCCTCCCAAATCACCCCTTCTAGCACATTCCCCCCACAAATCACCACTACTAGAACAAATTTTACCTGTCACCCCTCCCCCTTAATTCCCCCTCCCAGCATAAATCCCTCTTCCTACCCAAACTTCCCTTCAGAGTACAACAGCACACATATCCTCCACAATCCACCCACCTAGAAGTAATCCTCTTGTCGTCCCCAGCACAAATATTTATTACTATGCCCCCTCTCACCCCCCCCTCACCTGTACCCAGTACAAGTCTCTCTTCCCATATAAACACAGACCTCAGATGCAGTGTGGCACATGTCTGTTGCCATTCAAACTAGGCTCCTCCTCATCTTGACATGTCAAGAAGCCAATTTCTAACCCCTTGAAAAGGCAGCAGGTGGAACAGATGTCGCTGCTGAAGGGGTATGGATCATGGTCAGGGACACCGATGGATGTTTGATCAGGACTTTACAAAGTTTGTTTACCCACCCCTACCCACATTATCTTCTGGGAGGAAATGAGGGGGAGTGTCAACAGGTAAGGGAAAGGAAGGTGAACCACTTCTGGTTAAATTCCATTACTTCTAAAGATTTTATGATGAACACTTTTTTTTGGAATTTAATAGCGCTTAAGCATTTCAGGGATTGATATGGCACTCTCTAAAGGCTTATCTCAGGGGGCTTTCAGTTCAGCAAATTACTAAGATAAAAAGGTCCAAAAAGGATTTGGGGTTGTCAGCCATAAAAGAGGTGGCCAAGGAAGAAATATATATATATATATATATATATATATAAAAGACCCATCCCCAGATAATCTAACTAAGTGGTCTGAGATGTAACAGATGTATTGTATGGTATCTCTGTTAAAGGCTGAAAACAAAAGGTTCTTCATGAAACAGTGATTTTATTAAGAGGGGGGGGGAAGGTACTGGCCACATGTTGGCTCTTTTATCGATGGCTCATATTGCTTCTACTACTTTACTATGTATTGAGACTGATTCTGAAAGTTTACCACATGCCCTTCTGAAATGATAGGGGGAGTTCTTCCATGACTTGGAGTTTCCATCTCTTTTAGAAGGTGATGAAAACATGTTGGTGCCCCCCATTTCTATTGAGGATCTTCAGTGAGAAGTGTCAGGCTCTCCTAGTCATTAGGCGCCAGATGGACTGCCAACTGAAATCTGTAAGCAATATGGAAAGATTTTATTCCCAGAGCTTTTGCAAGTTTTGAATTGGGCACTCGATAAGTGGGAATTACCACCATCCATAACTGAAGCTACAAATATTATGGTACATAAAGAAGGAAAGGATCCACTACAGCCTTCATCGTACAGGCTATTTGCTTTGTACAGATGTTAAGTTGTTGGAGAGAGTGCTGGTTACTAGAGTGAGTGGAGTTATATAGCAACTAATCCATCTGGTTCAAGCCAGGTTTTTTCCTGGAAGGTTAACAGCCCTAAATATTAGAAGAGTATTCTTAAATTTACAAATCCCAATGGGCAAGTGTAGATAAAAGGCCATTCTTTCCCTCAACACTGCCATAGCATTATTTATGGAAAGTTTTGTCAGCATTTAAATTTGGCCCCTTGTTTATGAAGTAGGTTAAATTGCTTGAAAATTGTATCAGTTCTAACAAGTGTATATATAAATATATTTGCAGAGCTATTAATCTGTGAAACTGCATGTACATTTTGTCTGGGCAAACAAGGGCAACACCAAATGTTATTGGGCTATTTTCTCACCAGGTTGCATGCTTTTCATTCATACAGAGAGTATCAGATTTGGGAAAATATCATATTATTGCCAATAGATAGCGCTGTTGATAATGGAAAATAGCTACCTATTTAGCATGATCCTCAGCTCCATCAAGTAGCCATAATGCAGTATTTTCCAAACCACACTACTTTTCTGAATGAGTAGCCCAACAACATTCGTTTTTTTTACATTCATTATCACAAAACAAATGTACATGCAGTTTTACAGGATTAATAGTTCTGCAGTTTTATACCCCCCTCCCCCCTCTAAGATTTAACAAGTGTAAATTTGCCAAGTGTAAATTTGTATATCATTTCTAAATTGGTGTAATGAAATATGCTTTCTACAATAGATGAAAACAATGGGAAACCACATCTTGCAATGAATTATCAGCCACAAAGTATCAGTAACCAATCAAGTTTACTTTTTTAATGTTTTAATGTTATCTTAATTGTATCACTTTTTTTTTACTGTCATGTTTACTTCTGTTAAAACAATTGTATCTATTTATTTGTCATACATAATATATATAAAAATATCGCTAGCTGAGAATAAACATAAAAATAGT